ATCTACAGATAAAGTGTACTTGGAGTACAAGATGAATAGGGAAAACTAATTTCAGTGTAATTCCATGTTCGCATCTTTTCAAAAGTAGTTGTTACGGATTGACTGTTTGTTTTAGTTTGTATCTGATCGAGCCTTCTTTGCAAGATCTTTATCTCTACAGAAAAACAAAAAGAAATTATATCAACCACTATTCAAAACTCTCCTTCTTGATTTTTGAAAATATCAATTTTTTACTGTTTGCAATAAATATTTCCGAAATCTCGACATATACCAAACAGTATCACTGTTTTCAGCAGTCAAGCTGCTGAAAAATAATACAATGAAAATCAAAAGATAAATAGATAAGTACTGTTCTGATCACTCCCATATTGATTTCAATTTAAGAGCCACCGGCAGACAGACTGTTTTCGCGGTTCCACTTATGTTTCGCTTGCGTGTTCGAAGTCATTTTCATCAAGTACTCTCCTTGATTATTGATATTTTGTCTTCAATCGATGACCGCCTGATCGGTACTGACGATGCCCAACAGTCTGAAACAGATGTTATCGAGTGTGTATGATACAAATCAAAAATGAAACAAATCGTGGACACAACACTCCAGAAAGGGGGGCAAACCGCGGACACGTGATTCTGGCTATTGGCGTCATCAGCGCCAAGTGCAAAGATGGGCAACACTTGTTTGCCGAAAATAGAAAACAACACATAATCACGATAATTTCTTTTCAATTTTCATTCATATAAGTGATTCAATTCAAATTTATGACTGTCTGGATGGACAGAATCGCTTGGGATAGTGATGTCTGTATAGCTAGGTTTTCTGAAAACATTGAATTAAAATTTATTCTGATTGTGTGTAATGGTCAGGTCTAAGAAATTTATCTGTTTCTCTATCTCTGTTTCGAGTGTGAACTGAATGTTGCTATTGAGATTATTCATGAATGTCATAAATTGGTCGAATGAAACTAGTTTCATGTTTTCTCCAACATACCGTACAACGAGTGTAAGGTAAGCCCATCATTTTAGACATATTAGATCAAGCCCAAGTAGACCATATCACTTCCTTTGAAGTTTCAACAGCTTTCGATGTGTGCCTAAATCAGAGCTTAAAGTTCAACAACAAATATTAGAAAAACAAGTTAATTTCAAAGGATAAGTTACAGGAATATTGTTAGCCTTTGGGTTCAAAACTTCTATAAATGTCACATTCATTTTTTCAAATAGGAAGTGGCGGGCGAATGGCGTAACAATTTTAATCTATCGATTTTCTTTTAAATGGTTTCCTATGTTTTTGACGAGTATTTTCTAATAATTATATTCGAAAATAACGAAAGTGAATGAAACCTGTCTATCAACCTATTAATTGAACATGAATTGTTTTATTATATCTTCAAGTAGAAACGTTGGAAGCTCGTTGTTGTCGCTTCCGTTTTTTCTACAAAATAAAATTTCAATTTGCGAAAAATTTATTTATCACAGTTCGAAAAGAGGTTTGGAGAAACTTGAAATTTTACCCATTAACCAATATTTTCAATGCAGAACTTTATGCAATATGCCAAGCTCTCAAGTTCAAAGAGGATTTTTGGCAATATTGATTTGATTTTTCCTTGTCACCAATTTTGAGTAACGTCTCATAGAGCATTTTGAGGAAATATACATAGAAATTCGCCAGAATTAATTGGAATGAGTTGACGATGTTTTCACTATCTGGAACCATAATCCAGATGTCATAGATTTTTTTTAATTATTTGGATACAAAAGAGAACCCACGGTGAAATTAATGTTGGATTGTGGAGGGAATAAACATTTTTCCTGTCTCGATGTGATGATCCAATAATCAATAAAAAGTTCCGAAGTTTCCCACATTTTTATATAAAGATGAATAAGAAAAATAGACAATTTCTCTTACGTGATAATTTCATAAAAACACCTTAGCCACATACTAGAACTGCACCATTCTTTTTGACGCTTATATCACCAACCAAGTTGTCTTCATCGAATGATTCAAACCAAAAGCTAAGCTCTAACTCAGCGTATTTACATCCAGAAGTGTGAACACTTTTTTCTTCTTTAGTAATACCACCAATTATATCTCGATTACCTATAAATTATTAGGAGATTTTCCACTAATTTGAAGGAAATAATATCCATGGCGTGTTTGGAATGAAACGTTCGCCGCTATTCATGCGACCTTTTGCTATTTGAATATTTTTAAAATGATCAGAGATCTATTTTAACAAATCTGAAGCTGTCCCTGGCCGGTTGAATTGATACGCCAGTCGACTCGCCGAACAAATACATGAACTCACCTCGAAAGTATGCAGTCTGGAACCGGCGGTAAAATTCTAGACGAGTATCGAACCGTCTACAGAATTCTCGAAAGGACCTTTACCGATATAAGCCTGTCTTCACGACCTAAGAGGGCAGTTTAGAAAATTAATCGAGCGGCTAAACAAGAAATTTAGTCAGCTCCAAAAATTACGAGAACGGAATCCAGAAGTCGGAGGAGTGCTACAGTTCAAGAATGACCAGAGAAACATTTTCTACTTGATGACCAAAAAGTATTCTCGAGACAAACCGTTCTATGAAGATATCTGTAGGAGTCTTACTAGACTGAGGGACACAATGCTCGACCAAAATATTGTGAACTTGGCAATCCCGAAATTAACCTCTGAACTCTACAGGCTGGATTGGAGAATTGTGAGAAGTATGTTGGAAACTATATTCAGATCCAGCGGCATCAAGATTTTGGGGTTGCGGTAACCATATTACACGACCAAGCATGAAGACTGTGGAGTGTTACTTCCATCGAAGTAGATATGTAGAGTGCAGATATGTGGAGTCCTACAGGTATCGACACACGCCAAGGATGACGTTTCGGGGCGAAACGTTTTCAAGAAGGGGGCAATGTAACAAATCTGAAGCCGCCCCTGACCGGTTGAATTGATATGCCAGTCGGCTCACCGAACAAACACATGACCTCACCTCGATAGAATGCAGTCTGGAACCGCCGGTAAAGTTTTAGACGAGTACCGAACCGTCTACAGAATTCTCGAAATGAACTTTACCGATATGAGCCCGTCTTTCCGACCTAAGATGGCAGTTTAGAAAGTAAATCGAACGGTTAAACAAGAAATTCAAATAGTGGTGTGATAAATAAATTAGTTTGTGATTATTGAAATATTGTTGGAAATAAATTTGTTGAAGACAGGTAATTCATTTATTTGTCACACTATTGTCATGTAGAACAATCTCAGTGTTTTTTTTTCGTGTCGATTCTTCAAGACATGTATAACGATACCAGACTTTTCTCTGATGAACAATAATTTGTCAATAATTTTATTGTTGCCTGAAACTTAATCAACAGTTTGTGTGCGTAACAGTTGACAACATTTCTTATATGTTGTTTTCTTTCTTTCTGTGAATAATTGTCGACTGTTTTCAGCAAAATTTATATGTACCATGTGTGGAAGATACTACGTGCAGAAATCGACACTTTATAGACATATAAAATATGAATGTGGAAAAAAGAATCAGTTCCATTGTCCCTATTGTCCGAAGACCACGAGGCAGAAATATGATATTAAACTTCATGTTCTGAAAATACATGCCGAACGAATTCTCGAATTTGAGATAATTTATAAAAGTATGTAAATTGTTTCTGAATACAAAGATTCGAAAGATGAAAATACATATCGAAAAAAAAATAGTGTTTCATTTTCTTTTAATAAATTCATTTCTAATTTTCATCGTCAATGCTGCCAAAAACAAGTGGATTTTATTTCATACAGTACTATTCATCGACCACAGAAGATATAAAAAGAACATGTCACTACAAAATATGTTCATACCTGTAATCTCACACTCTGATGAATTTGTAAAATTTGTACTTACCAATTTTCCAGTCGGTGCCTGTAAAATACGTTTTTCGTCTCCTTTCAACTCATGGTCTCAAAGAATCTGTGAGTAAGTCACTACCATATATTATTTATTTTCATGGTGTATTGTTATAAAACGAAGATCGGAAAATGCACTTTTTGATTCGATTACATCCGCGACTGATGATGTGGCAACACAGAAAATATTGAAACAACATATTCTGAAATTATTAAAATACTTTTAATTGCAAAATCAAGCACATTCATCAAACAGCAGATGTCTTCAGCAGATGAAGTTTTTTCATCTTTTGAAAACGCCAACATGTTTAAGTTCTACGGATAATTTCAAAGAATATTTCCAATGAGTGATAGTATGGAATAAATTGTCGATATTATAATGTGTTTACAATTATTTTCGAAACGATTGGAAATATGGAAATTTGTTAAATCGTCATTCCATTTATCTCAAATAGATCTACAAAAATTATTTGTACATTTTTTCACATCTCTGAACCTTTGGAAAAATTTGAGAAATTGCAATTTTGACAAGAGTCAAATCGTAACTTGAAACAGAAAATAAAAAAAAATCAGAAAACCTGACCGTATACAAATTATTACTGAAAACTCAAAATATATTGTTGATTCATAGGACCTTTCTCGTGATTTCAAAACATTTCATCACAATTTTGTTGTAATTGTTATAGTTCAGGAAATGGGGGTTGAAATTTTTTTTAATTCAATTTTTTGTTCGAAAAAATGAAAATATTCGAAACTTTTATGGAACAATTTTTGTACAAAGGTCATTATAGACCTTCTCATAATGCCAATAGTTCAGGAGTTATTTGCAAAATTATAGGAAATCGAGCATCAAATCAGAACCATATTTTCATAACTTGAAACTTGGATTTCTTCCTTACAATTTCAATTTAAAAGGACACCCAGTATGAAATATCATTATCATTATTATGCCCCATTTTTATTGCCCCATCATAATTTTTCTGTGCTTCCTCCATATAATATACATATACGCCATTTTTCTTTGAATTCTTTCATGCATGAAGAGTTTTGTTTCCTTCAGGTACATACTATTAAAAACGTGAATGATCGATGTTTTTTTCGTTTCATGCCAATTGTTAATACGTCTTATTTCCAGTTGGGAAACTTGCCACATGTCTGCAATGTAACAAAACTTACAAATATCAAACGTCCTTGTACAATCATCAAAAATACGAATGTGGGAAAATGAAATCCTTCAGCTGTTCCAAATGTGGCAAGGCCTATTGGCACAAGCAGACTCTCAAGAACCATTTGAAACTCAATCGCTGCAAACCTATCAATACATTTGATGTGATTCAAAGCAACTTATTGGAAGGTTTTGATTTGTTTCAGTAGTCGGTCAGGTGAAAAACTGTATACTTGTTTGGTGAATTAAAAAAACACGTGAGTATCATTGTTTTCATCAGATTTTGTTATATTATTTCCATCAGAAAAAATTAAATCCTTTCTTTGGCAACACCTTCTATATAAAATGAATTCCATTTCTATATGGGTGGGCTCAGAAAGGGTCTTCCGTGAAAAATCAATCCAAACCGCAATCTCTTTTCTTCACCCGAATATACGAAAGAAATAGTTCGGTTATGATGAACCGGTTAAAGTAGATGATGAACCTCAAACTTGAGTAATTTTATTTCATCTTCCTCATATAAATAATAGATATTTGTTGAATATGTTTTCATTGTTATGAAAACATAATTAGTTCGTATTTTCAAATAAATAAAATGATGAAAATATCAATGGCAGGATTCTTGTTGATTTTCTTGAAGTCTGAATTAGTCATTAAATAATATTTAATCAGAATTTAATTAAAACTTTGGAGTGTCAAATAAATAAAATACTTTTTTGTGAAAAGAAAGTTGAGTACCTTGTCCCACCAAAAAATATTTTGGAACTAGGAGTAGTAGTAGTAGTAGTAGCTCTTTACATATGATGTATAAAAGTAGATTATTTGGTCATTTGTAATGTCACTACTTCTAAGTAAAAAATTTAATAAAAAAATATTTTGATAGGTTGCCTATAGTAATTCTCAAAATTGGTATTCGGGGTATATGTACTTTTATTTGGCTTTGAATTTAACTAAACAAAATTGTGTATTTTTCATATAATACTTGAATGGGGTGTTTTTTATTATTTCAAACCCTGATTTTATACGGAATGATTCATATTATGTTGTTTTATCAAGGAATATAAATCCCAAGCATGCTATACAGAAATCAAAAAAGAAATATTCTAATTTGTTTTCATTGTTTCAACAATGTCCCCAGTTTTCAAAATGGAAGTATTTCAGTGTTATTATAAAATATTTTATCTACCGAACCTATTCGATATTCTACATGTTTTCCAAGAATTCAGTTCAGGTTCGTATTTCTGTTTTCAACCTCTTGCCTGATCTAGTTTCAGCCCCCATCTGATACTTTCACCTTCCTTTCAGATATTACACATCTACAAAGAAATGTTTCACTTCATCTCGAAGTGCTCACTTGGAAAAAGTTTTACACAAATCCAGACTGTCTCAATGGACATGTCGAAAGATTTGTGGTGAAACTTGGGGTTTGGGTCCCAAACAAATCCATAGGATTCATGTGATGATTGTCAGACCGATGATCACTTATGGTGCAATTGCCTGGTGGCCGAAGCCTTTACAGAAAACGGCCCAGGCCAAGCTTTCTGGCTTACAGGGACATACTTATCTGGCCATCAGTGGTGCCATCAGTCCACACCGTCAGCGACCATGGAGATCCTTTCTCCACATTTTTCTGGAGACAGAGAGATACTAGAAGGACTGCACATAAACTTGTGCACATTGCCAATTGCACAAATCAATTTAATGCAGAGTGCAACAGACTGTTGGTTGATACTGGAAGTCACATCATTCTGGAAATGACCTCTGATTTTATGGCTCCAACTGTCAACCACGAACTGCCTTTTAAAGTACTGTTCCCGAGTAGAGCGGACTGGATCTTACGGATGAAGGAAATGTTAAGAGCAGATAGTTGTTGGTTCACAGATGGACCAATAGCACCTTCCGGTTCTGGTGCAGGTGTTTTCAGTCGCAGACCCAGGAGAGAGATATCATGGCTGCCTAGGAACCTATGCGACTGTATTTCAAGCGAAAATTTATCTATTGAATTGTGTGCGGAGAGATTGGAAGAAAGCAACCTCATACACAAATCAATAAAAATGATCTCAGACAGTCAAGCGGCATTGGAAGCTCTTGGCTCATACCAACAAAGTCTAAATTGGTAGCAAATTTTCAAAAACGACTCTCCTCGATAGGGAGACTTAACAAATTGTCTCTGGTCTGGATTCCCGGCCATATTAGCCTGGAAGGCATTGAGGCTGCTGACTCTTTTGCAAAGGAGGGCGCTGCAAGCAGCTTCATCGGACCGAAACCTGTTATTGGCATCGCCTTAGGCTTTGCCAAACAAACATTGAACACCTGGGTGGCAAGAAGATTTGCGAACTTCTGACAGAATCTTCGACGAATGGCTCACTCCAAGGCATTTATTCGCCCTTCGAAGCTTGATACCAACAAACAGTTGTTGGAATACAGAAGGGGTGAACTTCGATGTGTAACAGGCCTTCTTGCAGGTCACTGAGGTAACTATCATTTGAATCATTATATGCAGAGACTCGGACTATCGGAAGACATTGTGTGTCGCCTCTGTGTGGAAAATGATGAAACAGCAGAGCACATACTTTGTGCCTGCCTCGCTGGGGACTGAATCACGTTTTTAGAGTTCGGCAGAGCCGTACTCTTACCATCTGACCTGAAAAACCATTCACCATTCAAACTAATCTTCTTCGTTAAGAAGTTGGGTTCATTTGGTCGAGTGTGAATAGTTGTGAGCCACAATGAACCCTTGCTGGTTGTGGTGGAGGGTCGAATAGACCCACTCACTTTGGACCTAACCTGACCTAATCATTTCGAAGTTTCAGAGCTAACAAGCTCTCATTTCCGGTACTCTTGGTGAAAGCTACTACTGCAACGGTTCATCTTCTCACTCTGAACTACAACTATGTTCCCATAACTGTCGTGTTCAGCAATTTTCTTCTGAAATTGTAATCTACCAACCTATTTCTATCGTCGATAATTTCTTTGTCTCGACACCTGAATGATTGCTTTTAGGATCGTATCATCGATTGCGCCTTCAACATCCAAGGAAGTAGCTGAAAGTAGTTTCATGTTCTTCTAAACATGTTCAGCTTTTTCCGTTTCCGTCCATATATCTGACATGTACGTACAATGGAGTAGTCTGATAGCCAGTAATATGTCCCTGATATGCTTCTGGTAGCGATGTTTCATTTCCTCTCTGGGCCTCTTTCTTGGCCCATTCCATATATTCTCCTCTGGAGGAATCTTTGCTGTGGTTTTCTTTATTTGGTGGCTTTTCGCAATATTCTTCGCTCTCTTCAGTTCATGCTCCTGATATTCTTTTGTGTTGCAGTCCGACATTTGCCAGTCCAGCAATTATGGTTTTGGTGTGGCTGCCAATACCCGCCGTTTGCATTTGACTTTGATGATTCACTTACGTCTTCAAGTCAGTAATATTTGGCCAGAAGTCCTTCGAAGAGTAGTCATTTTCATTTTTCAGTTTGTCTCCTTCCATTTAGAGTTTTGCAAACACTACAATATTCAGGATATTTTCGTTTGTGTGTTTTGGTAATTGGTGATTAATAGATTTTAGGCAGTAGTCAATAGTATGATACCATTAATTGTGATTGATGAATATATAGGTTTTCCGGGTTTTTCTGCGGCTTAAATAGCAAATGCGTCTCAAAAAAATAGAAAGTCGCTCCGTAGCGCTAAACAAGTAATCACCCATCCCTTATTTGCACAACCAAGAATTTAACTTGATAGTTATGATTTTTCATTTTTATAATTATTCGTTAGAAATAAGATCATGTTATCTAGTTATAGTATACTGAAAGAGATTATAATAAAGTAAAATTTCAATTTGTTTGTTTTTTCAATAATTTTTCCTTCACATTTATATGTAAACTGAGAAATCAAAATTACACAAACCCAAAAGCACAAATATGTATTCGTAAATGTAATAATTCGAGTATTTGGGAATATGATCCACATTTCTTATTTGAGAAAGGAGTACTACCATGTCTTCAGAAAATCATAAATGAAGTGAAACAGTTATTATGCAGGATTTTCAGTAGTCAGAGTCCAAAGAAGAATATTATAGATTCATTTAAGCAGCATTAACACTGTCAATAAGTTGAATATTGATGATCATATCATAACCTTGATTTATCAGTCATCGATTATCTTTGACAGAGTGAGAGGTTCTTACAAATTTCGAAGTTATCCTTTGAAGGGATACCCGAGGACGTTTTGTTCTTATAATCTTGAAGAGAGGGTAAGTAACATCATCCACAGACATGGGGAATATTTTGCGAAAACTGCTTTGAATGTTTTTGAAAAGTTCTAGGTCTGTCGCCCTGCAATAGCCACAGAACAGACTCAAACTACCAAATACAGTTGATACAGAAATAGTTGTAACAGTGAGTGTTAGTTATGTTCAAGATCATTAGGCCAGTTTTCAAAAAGTTCAGATCATAGTCCTTGTGTAGAGTCGAGTTAAGTGTAATTTATTGACTATTTCAAACACAATATGAATTCATAGCAAGTCAGGCATTGTTTGAGTATTTGAATACACCACAAGTGGTACGCAGTGGCGTACCACTTTTCTATTCAACATCATTCCGTGGAAATTTTACATACACGCTATTGGCAAGAATAGGGTAGTGGAATCCAAGATTAAACTGAGTTTAACCTTCCTCTTGAACCTGCTCACTTGATAATTGAAACACGTGTCGAAGTGTTGAAGATAATGGTTTGGTGTGGGATAGAAATCCAGTAATATTCTGGTATCCGTTGATGCTATTCTATGATGTCTCTTATCCCAATCCAGTCCCGTGGAAAATTTTGATACGGAAAATAGTGATGTAAATAAACATTATAATAGTTGATTTTCCGAAATTGAAACCACTTTTCCACAGCACTGGTTTGGCAGAACATCAAAACAAAAAAAATGGAATTGTACTAATTTTGAAAATTGTTGGCCAATCAGACTATGAATTCATTTATTCGTTATGTGAACCAAATTCGATGCCAAAGAAAACACCCACACTGTAATTGCTCTAATTGAATGTAGCGTATTGACGTTTGAAGTGAACGACGCGACGCCCGGTATTATAGTTGGGGGCATCATCAGGTGTTAACCATGGAGTTTCCTTAATGTAATCAGTGACGGTGACGTGGTGAACACAGAGACGGGTGCAGGACGAACGGTGGCACAGCCATATTGTTTTGTTCATTTTGATGTCGCTAAGTGGCTGAGACTAACGAAAGAATGTACAGGAGTTTC